CATTGATTGCTCCGCCACGGTGGAGGATTGACTGTCAGCTTGCCATATCCCTCTCTTTCCTCTCATATCTAGAATCCAGATCTGCCAGATATTGCTGTTGACCCTTGAAAGAGCCTCATCCGTTGTCTTTACCAATCTGATCTCTCCCCTCTCATCTCCCAGCTCCTTGGGATCATCGACCAGGTAGCCTTAAACCCTAAACCCTCAGCCTGTGCTCCTGTCATCCGCACGTCGAGCTCGGGAGTAGCCGGGATTTCGTTCTCTTCTGGACCTTCTATGAAACCCTAAACCCTTCCATCTCTAAACTCTCAACCCTAAACCCTCGGCCTAAGTCCCTCTGTTCTTGTCCTCCTCCTCTCCCATTTTGTGGTGATTCTATCCCGCCTGGTCTTTCTTGCTTGCCTCTCTCTTCCTCCAATGCCCTTTGGGAGCTATAAGGGCCGAAACTCAATTTTGTATTAGGTTTTGCTTGAACTGTCCCGCCTGCTGTGTTGAGCTCCTTTCTCCTCCCACCTTCCTTTTTTGGTAGTATAGGCCTCCTCCATTTCTGTTGTGCTCCTCGTTGGGATTGAACCTTGGCGTCGCACTCTGCACCAAAACTGTAGCAGCTTCCATGTCTTSGCCCTGTGGGTGGTGAAGTTAGTTTAGGAACAAGAAGGMTGTGTTGTGAAGTGGGGGGGGAACATTGATGGAAGGGAATTGCCCGGRGGGGTGGGTATYTAGGGTCTGTAATGGGTTTCTGTMTTTTCCTCTTCTTCACTGACTTGTTTTTTGGTTGAGTTTCGCTTCAAAGTTTGACTTTTTCTTTTTCTACTCCTCTAGTTCCATCGGTGTGCTTTGCTCATTTTCTACTGTTTGATTTGTGTCGTTTTGCTTCCACCAGTTTGTGAATCGTATTGCTTTTCCTGAAACTGTTGCAATTAACCCCTTCCTTGACCATCTCTCCTCGAATTCTTTCTGGATTATGTTTTACTTGCAGTCTATGTCCTCTTTATTCATCTTATTTAATGTTTTCTGCCATTCTATTCTTATTTCTGTTTCCATCAGTTCTCTAGCTTCTTCCCATGATTCATTTTCCGATATCTTCTTCTTCCCTATGGTTTCCATGCATCTTGCTCTCCATATGATCCATATTGTGGTCTTTCTGAAAAGTTCTAGTATCTGACTGTTCTCTTCTTCGGCTGCTTCTTCTCTGTTTATCGCTGTTAATAGGAAGAATTTTTCTTTTGGAAATTCGGTTCCTATTATGTTTCTCCAAATCAACGAACATCTGTTCCATAATGCTTGTGCGTGTGTGCATTCTATTAGGCAGTGAGTAAGGGTTTCCGGTAGGTTTTCCGTGCACATTTTGCAGTGTGCGGAGGTGACAGATCTATCTTCTTCTTTACGTCTTACGTCTAGCCATGCGTTTACTGGGACTGCTAGGTACATTATAAGCCATTGTAGGCTTCTCACTCTTTGTGGTCTGATTGATGCGTAGTATGCCCATGGTATGTTTTGTAGCCTGTCTGTATCTATTTCTAGCTGTTTTTCCCATCTTTTTGCTATTGTTTGATTTGGGTCTGCTGGTTTGCTTCTTATTTTGTAACCCGTCTTTACCGTGTATTCATGTAGAGCTATCCACTTTTTGGCCCTTCCTCTTCCCCTGTTTTCGTACCACCCCCATTCCCCTGGGTCGACTTCTAGTTCTGTAATGTCTTTGTTTGGTCTGAAAAGCCAGGTTGGTTCCTTTCTTTTCCCTTTCTTTTTTCTCCCCTTTCTCTGTTTATTTTCTAGCTCTCTGACCTTTCTCAGGTCACTCGTGTTAAATTCTAGCTCCTCGAGCTCCTCTGTGCGTACTGGTGTGATCGATCTCTCTGTGTTTTCCAGTTCATATACCTCAAAAATGGCCAGGTTTGGTTCTTGACTCAATGGTTTTTTGAGTCCTAGAGCTACCGAGGGTGTTTCCTGTATCTTCAAAGTAGCCCAGTCACCCTTCTTCCATATTCTGTTATTTTTCAGTAAGGCTCTCCAGGCAATGGGTATGCTACTATGCTGTCAAGTAGGTCTTCTAAATTTTTTTCTAGTCTGTGATGTCCTCTCAGTCGCTGTCTTAGTTCGTTGACCGTTTTCCATTTTTCATTCTCGTCATCCCATAAATGTTCTATTTTCCATAAGCCGTTCTCCACCCATTTTCTCCACCTTTTGTCTCTCCCTTTTAAGGTCCATGGCTTTCCTTCACCGTCCAACAACATTTCGTTTCCGAATAGGCGTTGGCGCAACACTTCTTCCTTCGACCTTGGTCCTCTTCGTCTTTGGGGGAACGCCTCTCTCCATGCCCCAATTAATTTTGTCCAATGCTTACTTGGAGGGTCCTCGGCTGGGGTTGTTCTTCCTGGTCTTATCCTTGTTCCCTCGTTCCTGGGTGTCCAATATTTGTTCATGATCCATGTATGTCCCTCAATGCTTTCGTGTGCTTTGAAAGGTAGGAGGTTTCTGATTTGGTGAACTGCCTGGATATCTGTTTCTCACCCTTTAACGATCTGAAAGAGAAGACTTTCAAGAGATCTGCCTGTGGATTTGTGGAGGACGTTTTCTAAACTAGGAAGGCGGCGACGTAACAAGTGGCATAAGACACATTATTCTATTTAAAGCAAGGCTGAACTTCCGGTCCCACTGGGGCCCCCTTCCCCCACCGGAACCGGTCCGGTAGTACCGGCCGGTGGACCGTGCCCGTTCCCCCCCGGGGGCATTTCGAGCAAGTGGATCGCGGGGGAGTTGAATTTTTTTTGGGGCCGGGAGGCCTCCATGCGGGTCGTGGAGGCCTCCCGGCCCCGAAAAAAATAAAACCGGGCCCGGTAGGCCCGCCAGAAAGCTAAAAAACTGGCGGCCTATCTGTGCCGTCGATCTCGTGAGATCTGCGGCCCAGATAGGCCGCAGTTTTTGAACATTCGGGCGGGAAACCACCCGAAGTTCGACTTGCCGACCTGCCGCCAACGATCGGCCCCGCCACCCCGTCTCCAGCCTCCAGCCAGCCTCCAGCCTCCAACCCGTCACTTCGACACTTCGTCGAAAGTGAACAAGGTTGCGACTGGGTTGCACCCCTCCCACGTCCGCCACGGCCTCGGATCACCATCGCCCCGCACCGTCGTCCACCGTTGAAGGTAAGTGACCCAAACTTTCACTTTCCTCTTCTTCTTCTTCTTCTTCCTCTTCTTCTTCTTCTTCTTACTATCTTCTTCTTCTTCTTCTTCTTCTTCTTCTTCTTCTTCTTCTTCTTACTATCTTCCTCTCCTTCTTCTTCTTCTTCTTCTTCTTGTGGCAGAGCCGAAGTTTTCCATGAACATGTGTGCGCTGGGGTAACCAGCGGGCGCGGGGAGAGAGAGAGAGAG